TGAATATACTTTGGTACGGAGGTCACGAAAAATGTTCCCAAGGTTTGCATCCTCAAAAGAACTTTACTAGCAAGGGCCTGAGTGGAACCGAGCTTTTCATGTTCATGGTGGAGCAAGCTCAACTCCTTGGGAATCAATGGGAGTTGAAGGTGCTTAGCAAGTTGCAGCATCTGTCCAAAGCTGTTCTCCTGATTGTTTCTTTAGAGATACTTATTTTAAACAAATGCACTTCAAGTACATGAAGATCTCCCTGTACGTTTCTAAGCGAATGGTCCAGCTTAGTACATTTTCTTTTGTGTTTTAAGTTCTTGACACCTACAAACTGGTTGTTTTCTGTTGTACATAACATGCCCAATGGAAGGCATTGTTATTAACAAGCCCTGTTTCTAGCCCATGAAGTTATGGCTGTCTGGTGTTATCATATATTTCTTGTTGTGGACCAGGAGGAGCCTTGTGGGCCATGGTCTGACTATAGACAGGGCTCATAGATCCTCCAGGTTCCCAACTCCTCAGCAGCAGGGTGCCCAAAAGCTTTGAGAACTTCAAGTCTATGAAGTCTGTATGGTGAGGCTGTTCCAGAGCTTCATACCCTAGAAGATTTAGGATCACTGAGATATCTACATGTCAGGGTAAAACTAGAGCTACAGACCTTGGAAGCCCTCTGGGCTTTCTGTGCACATAGTACAGATCCTCAGAAGCAATGTGCATGATGGAGCTTCTCCAGACCCAGCCCTGAAATCACAGCCATGGGGCCATCCGCACAACAGGGCTTCCCTAGAGCTGCCGAACCTGGAAGCTTCAGCTTCACAACCTGTATGTTTCTATGAAACATTTCAGTTTTGACAGAATATTAATTTGTGATACAAACCTGTTTCATCATAAAATTACCAACCAGCTTGTGAAGACGTGAGAAAAGCCTCTTTTAAATCTGCAGCCACATAGTGAAACAACTTATCTTCGTTGCTAGAGCTGGCAACAACAAGGGACTGGAAGCTGCCGCAGGAGGCCCGCTTTACTAGCAGCTGATCCATCCAGATTAGATCTCCCCGCAGCTGTTCTGGTATTTCTGGCTCACCACTGAGACTGGAAGGTGGGCAAGATGAACTCCAAAGGGGAACTCAAATACTAGAGCGTTGGGATGCTGGCAGAAAACCCAGGAACTGGGGAGAGACCTGATTCTCAGACTGAGAGCTTGGAGAAGCTCTGATAATGTGCGACACCGATGCCGCGTCTGAAGCAGCAAGAGCATCAAGGAGAGCCAATAGGAAGCCACACTGAGAGAACGAGGCCACTGCGAGAGAGCTGGCAGCACTCCAAACAAGGTCTTTTGTTTGCGTTTCTGTTTACTTTCATTTCGGATAGGGTGGAGCCTGTTAGGCTGAGTCCCTGCCGCCTGGTGGATGGAGAAGGAAAAGCCAGCAACAGCCTTGGACTGGAGAGACACTGGGGTAAGAGTCATACTCCCTTGCTCAAATGAAGTAGAGTTAATAAAGGGCCAGGAAAAGGACCCGTCCCTCATAGGGAACTGGCCTGTGCCGTGGAGGTGCTGGGAACTGATGCTGAGGCATCTAAGGGCAAGATGAACGTCCAAGCTTAGAGGCAAAATCAGCCAGATTTTCTCTTACGTTCCTTTTTGATTTCCTTTATTCGATAGGGCCGGGCCGTGGGGAGTAGCCCGCGCCCTCAGGACCAACTTGTGCTGTTGAAGGAGGGTACTGTCAGTGGTCATAATGGCCCTTTGGGCTGAAAGACTTCCCTGAGTTCCAGTTTCCTGATTTGTGTTGTTCTTCATTTCTCTTCCATTTACCACACCTCGACAGAATGACCGTCAGGACTGGCTTAGCTGCCATATCCTTGAGTCAAGCCCAAGATGACTGCAGGCCTAAAGGGTCGAAGAAAAGAAAGAGAACCCCCACTGACAGCCAAGGGCGTGACAAATAATTTAACAGCTGGGTGGCGCTTGGACAGGGTGTAGGGGAGGTAGGAGCCCCAAAGAAGAATCAGACCAGGTGCATCTGGGTCAACACGCAGCAGAGTTGACCACCTCCCAACAAACAAATCTTCAGCACCAAGATGTGGCAGGAAAGAATCAGGTGACCTTCGATGAGTGTTTGAACTGGGTGAGTCTGCTTCCTTATGGCCCAGTCTTGCTGGGTGCAGGTCTGCCGGGGCCCATGGCCCTATCCTGTACTGGGCCGACTCAGCTCTATCAGAAAACTATTCCGCAAGACACCCAGGAGCAAAAATGGTGTTTATACAGTCTGTCCCTGATTCTACAACAACTCATTTAGGTGGGGAGCAATGAATGAGGTCTCTAACACCCAGTGAGATAGAGAGTCAAATCTAGGTTGTTATCTCAGTTTTGCCACTGACTTGCACTGTGTGATTAGGCGCCTAGGTGATTCTTTTCCATACCTCAGTTTTTCTTTCTAGAACAGATATTATAATAGGTAGCCATCCTTCTATACCATGAACAGGTTTGGATGTACCCGTTCTATGGGTACTATGTAAATAATAAGTAATCTTCTTGTTTCTGGAACTTAGGTGTATCAAAGCAGCCAGGTACACAAGACAGCAGGACACATTGGGGCAGTGATGAGTGATGATATTTCTTTCCCCCACTTCCCCTCATCACCCCTCTCCAAGCGAGCATCAGGGGCAGCTGCCCTGGTCCCGCTGCCCTAGTTATTCTATTGTCTGGAAGTAAATGAACATGCCTACTTGTATTTTAGTGATTTTTCATTTTTAAAGCAGGCTTATTATTTGTATTATGTAAATAGCAGTGTCCTTCCCAGTATAATTTCATACCTTATTTAATGTTTAGAAACAGTGATTACATGTGCATGGTATGCCCATTCCAGAACAGAAGGCATCAAGGCCATATGGAAAAGAAAGCCTTGTTTTTTGGGTTGTTTTTTTTTTTTTTAACGATGCATGCTAACATGAATGCAAAGACTATTCCGAGTGTGAATGATAGAAATGATCTTAAGGACAACAGAAGCTTGAGCTCTGAAGCTGGACAACAAAACCCAAACAGGTGGTCACTGGAGTTTGAAATTTCCTTGATGGTGCCTGAAATTATTAGCATTTATTGTGTGCTGGAGAGTAATAGAATAGGCTTTTAAGGGATTACAAATTTTTTTTTTTTTAAGTAAACAACCCGTTTAGAGATGGCTATCCTGAACTTAGACCCGAGGAAAAAAGAAACATCTGAGACAAATTTAATAGAGGTAAATGAACTTCAGGGGTCCACTGATCAGATAATTATCAGATAGGAGATGGAGGTATGTTAAAAAAACAAACAAAGCAGCAGTAGTAGAGATACGCTACACTTCAAAAAAGACATATTTTGAAGGAATGCTAATGAGCTGTGGCAAGATGATTGGAAGCAGCCTTCACAAAGGCCACTGGAAAATGCAGAGATATTGAAAGGAATCAGACAGCGATGCTTCAATCTAAGCATCAAAAATGATGCCACAAGTCAGTATGTTTTAGGAAAAATATGGAAAAAACCGAAAAAAAACAACACTTCCTCTCAGCCCCCCCTCCCAAAACAAGAAGAAATAGAAATCAGGTTGAATAGAACAGATTAATCGAGATAAAAATAAGTACCAAAAAGTCAGCATCACAGATTGGGATGTTAATTAGCTTTCTTTTATGTGTTTATTCAAGGCTGTCCAGGTTCTAAGTGGGTGCAGGCCACATGCCCAGCTGGCTGCATCAGTGGGAGTCGCAGGCCTCCAGGCCACCCTGGTGCACTGCATGCCCACACACCTGCACCCTGGCACTGCTGTAAAGACCCTGTGTGGATGCTCCCCCCTTCACTCCCGCAGTGTGTGTCTACGTAGGCACCCTCTACCACTGCACTGTGCATCTCACAACCCTGGCCTCGACCTGCATACCCTGTGCTGTGCTGCACACGTACCAACCAGTGTGGCAGCCAGAGTGATAGGGGAGTCATGGCTGGGTGGGAGCCGGGGAGCTACAGCTTAACCCCTCACAAGCAGTATGCAGCACATGGGCCACCACTTGTACAGTCCTGTGTTCATTTATCAAGTTGTGCCTTCTTTTCATGTCTCAGAGCATGTTTTTTGCACCTTTTTGAGTATGTGCATTCTTGCATTATGGAGATATGAACCTCCTACTGTTCCTTGAAGATCGGCTGGCTCTGTTCAGCTTTGTTCAGCCTGTAGGAAATGGAAATTCTAGAGTCAATGCCGACAACTGGGAACACGCTTGAGACTTTTAGCGCATCCACTCGTCTGGAGTGTTTTGGTGGTACAAAGAGAAAGTCACGGTTTGTAAGGTAAATAGACTGGTTGCCTTGCAGAGCTTTATTCAGCAGTCTAAATCAGCACCCTGGATTAGGCTTGGAAACTGATAGAAAGCTGATGTGATTTCTAGTGAATGCATGGGTTACGTTGCTTGAGGGCAGTGGTGCCAGCCTTTCTGGGTTGCTGGCTGGATAAATGGTGTGGAGTTGGTCCACAGGCTGGATTCAGTGTATGGAATTGGTCCATAGGACTGATCTAGTGAGGGGTCAGTACACTGGTTTGATTTAGTGCATGGCCATGGCCTTGTATGCTGCATTGGGCCCCAGTCCTGGGCACACTGGATCAAGCCTGTTGCCCTGGCCTAGCTCCACACGCGTTAGATCAGACCAACTGCACTATGCTCCAGCCCGATCCAGCAGAGAGGCCCATGTTATCTGGCTGCAGGACTTGGACATTTGGCAGCCGGGGAGTGGTGGCAGCGTTCATTGTCACCCATTCCCCATCAACAAATTTCCAAATCCATCGGGATCCCTGTGGGCCAGATGACATGGCTTTATGGGCTGGAGATGGGCAATGAGTAGAAAGCTGCATTCAGTATTTCTTGAATGTGTAAGAGGTCTTCAGATTTACCCACAAGTAGAATGGTTTGCTGAAATCCCATCTAGATGTAAAAGGCATGGACTGCTAT